GCTTGTTTGTTTGTTTGTTTGTTCGTTTGTTCGTGTTTGTGCAACATGCGTGAAGGACATCGCAACTAACACGCTGCACACTTGGTAAATGCAGTGCGTCTTTAGCAGTCGTTCTCGGGCACACGGACTGCTCCATGCATTGCCAACGTGGCAGTTCAGCTTCAGATCATCACAGATATCACAGTCAGAACAACGGCTTCTAAACCTTATGTTGTTGTGTTGACGCAAGTCCGTGCTTCCCTTGCACAAGCACCTCCACCGCATGTTCGACGTTTTGTGTGCACGTGGTTGCTGCTTTCTGTACTCCCGAAGTAATGGCGACAACTCCAGATGTCCCCGAAGCAACTTGAACTTCCATAGTGTTTGCCTCATTCGAGCTTCACTCCCAAGTCAATTTCCGTTTGCAGGGTCACCGTATGAGTGATTCTGATAATGCTCGGAACCGACCTGAGTCTGACTCTTTGTCTTATTCTCTCCCCTTCCAGTCTCTCCATTGCTATCACGTTCTCCCTCTCTCGACAAGGGGCCGGTCAAATTCCGATTTGGGAAACAGGATTGAGAGGCAGCTGCCAGATCCGAGCGGAAGACTCTGCGAACGGTTGGGGGAACACTTTGCCAGCGATGCCATCCATGGCAGGATCAGCAAAACTCGTGGAAGGACAGCTCATGCCACTGCAGCTTGTCATTTGTGGGCCGTGGGCAGGTCAGCGCTTCGTGGCAGCAGGATCACCGCGCACGAGCGGAGCTTCACTCCCAGCCTGAGTCTTCATCGCATCCACGCTCGAGTCGAGACAAGACGGTTCCTTGTGCCAGGTCTGAAGTGCCATATCCAATCCACAGTTTGAGAATTGTTGAAGGCGATGAAAGTGAAAGAAGGTTGACAGCCCCGGTCAATTACTAACCCCGAGTCATCGTTCGGCGCCATGCAATGCCCCCACTTCGCCTTGATAATCGAACATACAAACTACGTCAGGGAGACTGTTTCGTGCAACTTGGCGTGAACGGTGGAGAGGCTTGGAAAGGAGGACGGCAATGGCCGGCAACAAGACCAGTATTGCACGTTTGATGCGCCATCTAAGAATTCTTGATCCCGAGAGAAAGCTACCAGTAGTTGGTGCTGCGGACGGACTTTTGATGGCTTGCACTTTTCCAGTCAGGCTTTGCGGCCTCGCTATGGACAAGGTCCCCCCAGGACAGCATGTTTTCGGAAATGTCCTGATAGCAGGATGTGGAAGCAAGCACCGTTCATGAACGTGCGTGACTGTGCCCACCAATTCAGGACACATGGCAATCTGCGAAGATACTGAGCCAGATTCGTGCTCCTCATGTGGACATCATGCGCAGTTTGTGTGCACAGCATAAACCAACCAACCCTGCACATGCCATGTGAATCCATGAAATTGGTCCCGTCTCCGCTCCTTAACTGTCTGGTTAGGCTAGTTGATGCTAGTTGACATTGCATAATATGATGCATGCCACATTATGCAAACACTGGGTCGATAGATGCGGAGGTCCGTGCATGGAACTTGATCAGCATCATGTGAGTAGAGACGGGCATTGTTGGGCTACTTGGGAGAAACGCCAGAATAATGAACTATGGTTCGGAATGCCTTGTAAGATGCAACCGCCCGATGCCTGCGAGTAGGAGCTCAACCAGGTTTTAGTACAATGCATCTGCCATGAGTGCAGGCCCGAAGGCCTCTGAAGCACTGATTTGGCCTCAACGTCGCCGCAAGAAGAAAGAGTCTCTTGCATCACCATTAGACAGGTTATGCCACCTTGCTCTTCTCGATCAGGCCAGGGGGTGCCGTCCAGAACCAGGGCATAACGGACTACTCATTACTAGTCACTAATCCAACGTTTTCCAGCTTTCGCCCCTCTTTTCAAGATTCCGAACCCCGGCGGGGCCCCCGAAGTTGTCTGTTAGCAATCTCACACCCACCATAACTGTGCAAATCCACACCCAAGGTCTCAAAGCCTCAACAAATCTTGCAACGATATAGATGGGTCAAACCTGAAGCCGCACCATCTGCTTCGGAGTCTACACTGGACAGGAATGTCAATAGACTTCAAGACTCCAGGTGAGCTCCATACAGCTCGCAGGCACTGGATATCCTTTCTTGTGGTTCTATGGTGCACCAGATGGATAGAAAGGGAAAAAATCTCGGCCTCCCGTCTGGGCTCCTACAATATGTCTCTAGCCTTGTTGGCCTCTTGGCTAGCGTCGTCCGGCACCGCGTAATTCGTGCTCGGGTGTCCACTTTCGATTTAGCAACAACTCGCTGCACTGAAACGGAAACCACATCGTTTAATTCGTGGAACGGGTTGTGCCACGTGCAGCTGTCTTGGCATGGAGGCAAACATAGAATGCAATAACTTTCAATGCGTTAATGTTGACAGGTCTGCAAACTCGGCAAGACTTGACACCACTAGCGAGATCTGGCGAGCAGCAATCACATGCTTGCTTGCTCTCCGATGCTCTGCAGGAGTATATGTTCCCCACGACATGTGTGTCGTATGTCGCGGGGCTGTCGCCAGGTCGTGGCCGGAGACATGCGGGACTGGGAAGCTCCAAGGAAAGCTGATGTGCGGGGCTGTCAGCTCTGCCTCGTGAATTCTGCGCAAGTTGTATATTCCTTAAGCGGAGGTCATTGTCAGCGAATTGCTGGGCTCCTTCGGTGACAACGAGCTCAGTTCGAGCCCCAGCACATCGGCTCTTCGTCTCACTGTTGGAAAGACCTGTTCCAACTAACACAGGGAAAATAGCTCCTTAACCCACAGTCTCCGTGGTCAGTTCGGGTTCTGCCAAGTGTTTTTTTCGGGTTTGGAGGCATCTGGGGCCAGCAAAGGCCCAGTCCGTCAGAGAACTGTGCAGTATAGGGTGGATTACTTATGTGCTGGGCGGCATCATGTGCTGCAGCAGTGTCTTCTCGATGGGAAGATGCCGGGCCGAGCCAGGCGCATGTTCAAAGCCGACCGTTGCTGCACTGCATGGTGAGTTTTTCTTCGCCTTCGCTGTACCAAGCAAGGTCCTGAATGTTTGGATGGCGCGCCCTTCGGCTGCGGTTTTGGGGTTTTCATTACAGAGACATGACACTATGTGCTGGCTGCCCTGAGACAGCGATTCCTGGCCACAGACGGCGTTTGCATTCCACAAAGTTGCTGTGCTGCAGAATGTCGTGGGCACGGGGGGTGTGCGAGTTTCCTGTAATGCTAGCTCGGTCAGTCTTGGTCTTGGCTGCTTCTATTGATTCTATTGCTTCGCAATTTCCCAAAGCCTTCCCGAGAAATGCATCTCGCAGGCCGCATCGGCTTGTCTCGCCGGTTAGGTGCCTAGTCGAGTGGAGGAGCAAAGTGACAAAAGTTGCTGTCAACAGCAGCCATTCCGTGCACTCGTGGCCTAGAAGCCCCATCGATCATATCCATGGCAACGAGGGACCCTTGAGTGTTTGAGGTCGTCGTGGCGCAATGCAGTGTTCACGTATGTCATATGTTCTCATATTGCGATGCTACCCCAGCCCCCACCCTCAGGTGTGGGCCCGGCCTCCATGATCAGAGTGGCGCACCAAAAATCGGTGGTCTGTAGCACACACTCGCACTGGAAGATGTTACGACGATACTGTCAACGGCTCGCCTTCGGATTTGCTTCGCTTCGGCCGCGTGCATTCTGCAACGACGCCGGAGGCATCTTAACATGAGGTCAGATGAGGTCAACACTGGTATGGTATAATTGTGGCATGGAGCTACATGATGCTTTGTCAAGGACCTGCCATTGGCAAGCACCAATCTTTGAGTTGATATCGCATGACAGCAGGGAGTCATTAGACATCATTAGATGCTGATGGATGTCATCTCAAAAAATGGCAAAGCAACGGCGTACAGTTTGCCCGAAGGGATCCTAGCGGCTGGGCAGGGCAGGAGCAGGTCAAGGCAGCACCAGCAAGTTGCCAGAAGCCCACTGCAAAGACTCACGGAAGACGGCCTCTGTCGTACATCCGAGCACATGCAAACATGCGTTGAGCTAGCAGCAGCTAGCAGTGAAGGCAGCGAAGCAATCTCAAGTCGTGCATTCAATTTGCAGACCTTCCTCTAACCACCTAGTTAATTGTCTCCAGCATCCCCCAGCATCGGGAATCCAAACAGCAAAGTAATACTGCTTGGTCAAGGTTATACTGCAGCATTGACCCCAGTGTCGGCACCCGGGCTGTGGGCTGATGCCCAACAGGGCGCTGCCGGTGGCGGCCTTGCAGACCTGGAGGCTGCTCGTCACAGTAGCCCGCAACCTCTCCAGTGGTTGATGTCGAGAGACAGGGAAGAGAGACAGGAAAGGCGTGGCTTAAGACTTCAAAAGGACTGCACACAAAAGCACATTGGGTAGTTTGAACAACCAGTGGTCAGGAGCCAATATGTGCTATCTAGTACGTAACTCGTATCCCGAAACTAGTAATGAGTCACTAGCTCCTGGTAGTAGGGTAGTAGTAATTAGTCGTCGTGGTCGTCGTTTTGCTGGCACAATAACTACCAACAACCACCACCTTGCAGGTGGTGTCGCATCATCTTGGGTTCCCGAAAATCAAAAGAGTACTTCCAATCACGATGAAGGTAATTTCTAGTGACGAGAGAAGAACAACAGTGAAAGATGTTGACAAGATCCCAACGATCATGCGTACGAGCAGAAAAGTTGGCAGGGACTGTCTTGAAACCTCTGTACGGTCCGATACTGTCCCGAACAACCGTGGCCCAAATTGGAAGCGAACAGCTTTTTTGGAGTTCTTGCCTCTCAAGGGAATGCTGTCGCTCGGCTCGTACAGGGGGGCAAAGCGCCGTCTCTGGGTACCTGCAGCCAACAAGTGACCGGCAGTGGCCGGTGTGCTGTGGTAGCATCTCTTGCTGATTGATCCGGACCTTTACTCAACACCTCGAAAACCTAGGGGCTGTCGACACGTCCGAATTCAACACTACGACTACTGTTTTCGCAGCTTCAACGTCTGGTTGCTTGGGTAAGTTTCTGTCGCGAGTGGTTTTGGGGGGGTCCGTGCTCCTGCCACTGCCACTGTTTTCGCATCTTTAACGTCTGGTCGCTTGGGTAAGCTTTTGTCACTCGTGGGTTTGGGGCGGTCCGGTCCGTGCACCTACTATTGCCACCACAACAACTACTACTACTACTACCACCACTACTGCTGCTCCTGCTCCTGCTCCTGCTCCCGCTCTCACTCCTACTCCTTCTGCTGCTCTCCACTTTCCATCATCTATGGCGAGTCCCACGAATGCTGCAAATGGTCGTCCTTAATAGTTGTCATATCTTTATATAGTACCCACTGAGCATCGGACACCCTTCGGCGGCTTTGTCTGCCTGGCCGTCGGTGTTGGCACCATGGCGTGCGCCACGGCATCCCAGAGCCTCAGGTAAAATGGGAATTCCGATACGTATCAGGGTTTTGACAACTGCAGTTACGGTACGCCTGTCACACTCCTATAATCTGCACGATCCCTCTCTGGGAATCACAAACGACTTGTTGATGGCCATCTCCGAGACTGGTCACAAACCCTGGCAAGACCTGATACCCTTGAAGGCCTAAATGCCCGCTGTGGGCGACGTAACATTTACGACTTCGGCTTTTTGAGATAAGCGGATTCAATTCGCCACATGGCACATTCGAAGATCCTTTCCTCACCCGGAACCACGGGCTGCCGCGGCAAGCCACTCGACACGCAGGAAAGATAGCTGGAGTTTATGGGGAATAGGTCAAGCAGCAGTCCTGCTGTTCGCTGTGGCTCGTCTGTGAGCATCTGGAAAATTTCCGAAGTCAGGCAACTGCAGAACATACTTGTCTGCGACTCACAGTTTCCAGTCACATGGACTGCACATATCCGTCTTAAACAGCGAAAGACCCATCGCGGGACGACTTGGTCCCCGCACATGTTGCCGTCTGAATTGCAACGGATGTAAGTCATCGGATGAAGTGCCGCTACTTAATTAAACACAACCCCAGGTTCAGTCATTTTCAGAACGAGTATGCTACTGAGCAGTGCAAGTGCAAGATGTGCCAAGTGCCGAGTACTGCTAAGTGTAAATTATGTAGCAGTCCCAACTGTGGCTATTCTGACCAGTGATACCCTGTTGCCACTGACGTGCAGGCCTTCAGGTCAGAGCAAGAATGGGCCTCCTGCACCAACTTCAGCAGCCCTAGTTCTGATGGCATTGGCATGCCCTAGTATCTTTCCTGACGACCCCGGCGATCCATCTGAAAGTACGTGTAGCTTTGCCCTGAACGCTCTCTAGTTCTTGTCCAGAAGCTTGAGGATCGTGGCAATGAGCATGCAAGCAAACCTGCTGGGGTGATGGGGCGTCCACTCACGAAGGCTCTACTGGTAGTGGACGAAAACTAACAACTTGCAATGATGATTTCTTATGGACAAATCATAGAGGAAAAGCAAGCGGTTAAAGTCCTCTGCGATTTAATTACACAGGTCTTTCGCCACCTTTTCTAGCCTAATTGAACACCTCGAAACCCTTCACCGTGATTATTCTCACTTCATGCCAGTGTATTCCGAGGATGGACGGGGCGGCTCCGCGGGCCGGGGGGGGGGGGGGGGGGGNNTTGGAGGGGGTGGAACATAGCTGTAAAAAATAGAGATAATAGTAATGGAATGGCTTCCCATTCCGTTAACATTGCAGAACAATTATAGCAGTAACATCGATACTATGGGCTTGGGGGAGGGAGGGGGCACTCTTATTCTTTGAAAGAGCAGAATTAATAATGAGATGGTTTCCCATTCCATTACTATGTTGGAGGGTGCGGGGAGGGCTGCGGGGAGGGAATGGAATGGTTCCCTGTTCCGTTCCTATTTACGTGGGGACAGTGGGCTGGGGCGGGGGACAAGTGCTGATTCATTGATGCAATGGTTTCCCGTTTCATTGTACTTGTTATTTGCATATGGCGGGGGTGTAAGGACTGGGAGCCGCAGGGAAATGATAATGATGAAACGGTTTTCTGTTCCATTATTATCTTTTCCCGCGAGAGGAAATAATGCTGGAGGTCCCAATTATTTCTTTGCGTGCGCCCTGCAAAAACTCGGGAATCGCCTCAACAACTGCAGTCACCGGCATTATCACCGCTTAGGTCTGAGATACTGG